CTTGGAGCTTCATTGGAGCCATAGTCAGCTCCCATGGCCAGATCTGTGGCTGGGTAATCCTCAAATCGAGAGACTGCATTTCCATGTTAGGCCCTCGGTGGCAAAAGCTCTCCCTCTTTGGCATATAGCTGGGCACAACTTCCTACAGACCTTCATACTCATAGCTGTCCTGTCTTGTCTTATAACTCTTGCTGCTGACAGAAGGTGACAGATTTGTGACCTAGAGGCCAACTTTTTGTTTTGATTGGCTTGCAGAATGAGTTTCAAAAATTGGATTACTTCCCAACACATTTTTTTTTTTTTTTTTTTTGCGGTTGGAGTCTCACTCTCGTCTAGGGTGGACTGCATTGGTGCAGTCATGGCCACTGCAGCCTCGACCTGCTGGACTCAGGCAGTCCCCCTGCTTCAGCTTTCCAAGTAGATAGAACTACAGGCATGTATTACCACATCTGGCTAATTCTTTTATTTTTGTAGAGACGAAAGCTCTCCAGGCTGCCCAGGCTGGTCTTGAATCCCTGGGCTCAGGCAGTCCTGTTACCTACACCTCCCAAAGTGCTGGGATTATAGGGATTACTGCACTGGGCCCAACACATTTATGTTTGTGATCACAAGTGAAAACCCGGATGCCTGACTGTTTGAAGGGAATGGAAAGGAGTGACATGCAATACTGTACTGTCTGTTCTTTTACTTTTTTCAGCATCAGTCTATTAAAATGTACTGTCTATTCTTGTTTGTTTGTTTTTGAGTTGGAGTCTCACTCTGTCACCCAGACTGGAGTGCAGTGGCCGCTGATGTGGAAGCTTAAAATAAGTTATTGTATCATTGCATGTATGGATATTAATGATGGCCTTATAATTAGATGATGCATTAAATAGTACACTGTCTTAATCATTTTCATGTAATATCAAGCAATTTTCTTAGGTCTTTGGGAGAACTAGAATTGGATGGAAGTGCTGGGCACGGTGACTTACACCTGTAATCCCAGCACTTTGGGAGGCAGAGGCAAGAGGATTGCCTGAGTCCACAGGTTCAAGACCACCCTGGGCAACATGGCAAGACCTTGTTTCTACCATTAAAAAAAAAATTACCTGAGCGTGGTGGTGCACACCTGTAGTTACAGCATTTTGGAGGGTTAAGGTGAAAGGATCACCTGAGCCCAGTTCGTCATGCTGCGGTGGCCATGAGCATGCCACTGCACTCCAGCCTGGGTGACAGAGTGAGACTGACT